GAAAAACTCCCTTTGAACAGGAAGAAACCTCCAGCAGAACCAGGCTCAGTGTGAGCGGCCATCTGCTGAGGCCGACTGGGGTTCAAGGAGACAGAGATGTTTTAAAGAATCCTACTCTGTGAAATCATCTCCAGAGATTCTGGAGGAGTTACTGGAACCAAGCCGGCCTTCTTTATCAGCTGGTTGAGCCTGAACCATGAAATAATTGTCAGAAAATTAAATAAAAAATTCTAAACTATCATAGATTTCTTACGTGTGAATCGGATGGTTTTGAAAACATGTTGAACTGGTGACCTAAAATTCTCAAAAACACTTATTAGAGAGGATCCCTTTGGTGGTGCAGATGATGGAGGCAGATATCAGACTCTCCTCAGCTGACTGATAGAAGATCTGCAGCATCTGAAGGACCTAAGCATCCTCTAGAAGTCCAGTCTGCTCTGTCCCTTCTCTCAGACGGCTTCCCAGTTTGTCCCTGTTCCTGTTTCTCCGGAAATCTCCAATCATCTCCTTGTTTTGTTGACCTTCAGGATCAGATGATTGTTTCCACACCATGCCACAAAGCGCTTCACCAGCTCTCTGTCCTCAGCTTCTACTCCATCTTCAGTACTTCTGCAGATGACAGGACTCTGTCTGGTCCTGGAAGTCAGAGGTGAACAGAGGAAAAAGGAACGGAGAGAGTGTTCCGTCAGACCAGCATACACATAGTCAATCCCCCTTTATCTATTTAGTTTATCCCTTTAGTTTTATACGAAAAAGAAACCAGAAACTACCTTGACGGGTGTGTATCCCTTTATTCATGTACAAAAAAACNCTATTTAGTTTATCCCTTTAGTTTTATACGAAAAAGAAACCAGAAACTACCTTGACGGGTGTGTATCCCTTTATTCATGTACAAAAAAACTAATTTCTTACTTTTGTTATTTTTTGAAGCATATGGCGATCTGACCTTAAATTGTTTTTCTTTTGTACATGACTGTCAGGATTCCTGTCTGTGTGTGTGTTTTTCTGTGTTTATCTCCCTTCCTCCACCAGGAGGCGCCTGGTTTTGGTCCGCCTTCCTACACACCTGCAGAGGGTTACCTCATTAACGGAGTGTTCTTAAGCTGCTGACTGCCACTACCTCGACGCCAGAGAGTTTGCCAGTTTTGGATACTCTAGCCAGGCTGAGTTTTTGCTGAGTCAAACTGAGTTCTTGTTAACCTGAGTCTTAATCTTTTTTTTTTTTGTCTTTGCCTCTCGGCAGGAAGTCATCCTGCAAACTGGATGTTTCGGACCTTCTCTCCCTAGAAGGATCATCTGAGCTTCAAACTGAGTTGAGGATTCAAACTGGAGGTTTGAATCCACTTTCCCTCAAGAGAACATTTTGAGCTTTACACTGAGTAAGGGATTCATCTCCACATCGACCCGTTCAGGTACCGCAGGAAATCTGAGTGGCAGTCAGCTTCTCAGTTCGCCTACAAACAAACGCTTTCTGGGTAAACCCTGTCCACCTTTCAATAAATCAGACAAACACTGGAACTACCGCAAACAGACTGGAGTCAAAGAGTCAACAACTTCTCTGGAAACGCGAGTCAGCAATCTATTTCCCCTTTTCAGGTTCGACAATCAAATTTCCCACCGAGCCTGAACTTACCGCAGTGTCTTCCCCTCACCTTTCAGTTCCGGTTGAGCAGTGTTCAGAGCAACACTGGAATTCTTCACAATCTTATGAATAAACCTGTTAAACTTTTACCTGGTCTTTCTGTATTGGTTACTGCTTTTGGGTCAGATCTTAGTTAAAGTCATGACAATGACTAAAGGGATACAAGCCCGTCGAGGTAGTTTAAAGTCTATGGTGTTCAATGTGTTTTTCATACAAAACTAAAGAGATAAACACAAATCTGATGTCTTGTGCATGCGTATTCACTCTGACGGGGTATGCTGGTCTGACAGAACAGCGTCTCCTGTGCTGCNGATTGCTTGATCAGACACCTGAGCCTTCAGTCTAACAAACTGTGGTCTGTTTTCGTTCCCACTTTCCAGGAACCTGATGGAATATCCTGAATCTCCAGAGTCTCATTTTAACACGTTGCTCTGCAGCTCCTCGATGACCAAGCCTTTACCCCATTCAGTGACGGTGCTTTAGCCTGTGACCCTGAAAGGTCTGGATCATGAAAACCTCATAAACATCATGAAAACTGACTAAGCAGGAAATAAAATCCTGCTTAGTGAAC